GCTCTGAAATGAAAGGAAATCTTCGTGTCCCGAGCTAGCCTGCGTAGCTGGCGGTTAAGTTGGGGTAGAGCGCGCGAGCAAACGGCGATGCTGCGGGGAGCCTGGTGGGAGAAACGATTTCCGGCCCCCATAGGGCACTCCCCGCTTCGCCACTCGTTTTCGCGGATCACCGGACACTCAATACACATATCTCATTAGACGTTTTGGTGTGTAGTATCGCTGTATATTTTTACGAGTCGTGCCGTATTTTGACGAGCCCGTAGGGTGAGTCAAAATACAAACAACGAGAAAACATTTTACTTACAGCATAAGCCTTCAGAGCAGCTTTTGCATCAGTTTATGTCACAAATAATTCATGTCTTCTTGTTTTATTTAAATAACCTTGATATCGTTCAGCTTTCATTTTGCAACAGTCATTCCTCAATAAATTGTCTTCCCCAGCTATGTTTACGCCGCTGTGCTGTCTATGGCGAGACACCTTGTTACAACTTGGCATGAGGCTGTGTCTTGACTTCTGGTTTATATTTCCTGTACATGGTCACTACAGCTGCTCCACCGATTCCATAGTTATGTTGCAAAGCTACCAATGCCCCGTCCACCTGCCGCTTGCCAGCTTCGCCTCTCAGCTAACAGTGAAGGACAAAATCGAACAAAAACTCTCTTTACAATAAAATGAATACAAGTATTCATTAAAAGGCCTCTAAGGCTACAGAGGTTGTAGTTTTTCTTCCTCCTTCTAAGATCTTCAAACTAGAAGCATGAAGTACGCAGGGTTTTCCTTCAAGCCTTACCCAAGTTTTCGCGCGGTCAATTTCCCCGTCCGTGTTTTGAATGTAGGACAACCCTCTTTCGCCCTGCTCGGAGGAAACACGAAGCTTATAAAGCTTAAGACTGAGCCTGGGAGTTTAAGAGCGTTCTTCCTTGATAGGCAGTCAAGCATTTCAAGACGGTTATGGGACTATGAATTGCTTGTAGCGTAAAGAAGTTGAATTAACTAGGGATATCAAGAATAATATGACGGATGACAGGTACAACTACAATTTGACACACAGTTCATAGTGAGACCAATATTTGTGCTGGCCGTAAAATCGACTAGCATCGGGCTTTTGCAACATACGTACAAACGGGTTAAAAGGTGAAAATGGTACGGTGAGTTAAACATTCTTGGGAAATTGTAACCCAGTACAGAAATCACTCAGGAATATCTTAGTAGGACATTTCTGGAACACTAGAATTTATGTCAGTGTGGAATTAATTTCAGGCTTTTTAGTTATGTCCTTGCTTTTAAGAACGGAGCTACTGTACCATGCGCGAAAATATTCAGTGTTGGAATAGGTTTTTAGGAAGTCCTCTTACAGGGAGAATGATTAAAAGAAGGTGAAAACATGATAATCACCTGCCAATTAAGCTCTGCACACTGCGCCAGACCTGTAGCACCGATCGGATGACCTGCAAGAAATAAGGGAACATGTGCCTCGGGATAACGCAGAGGCAGCGTGGCCGAGTGGTTAAGGCGTCGGATTTTAAATCCGGAGGTCGCGGGTTCAAGTTCCGCACCGACCACAAGGCTGGAGACCCCAGTTCAACTCCTCGGTCATGCTGGTAAATAGCCAACTGGTCTTCCTTCCGCCAGTTGGGATTTTTAAGCCTATTATGTTTAGTTGATATATTCGTTTCTCTCAGTTTAAGTGGCATGCATGTGAACTAGCTAGGGGTAGCTAAGCACATTGACCACTATAAACAACAACATTTGAACATTTTTGCGGTTATTGTCACCTTTGACTTTTGAAAACCAATTTCAAGAACTGAAACTACATGCATCAGTTAACAGCAAGCAAGCAAGCACTTACTGAATGTTTTGGTGTCCCAGACGGCAACTGGAAGCCGAGTGTTCACTTCTTTGTACGCTCCATTTCCACTACTCACTCGAGTCCGCTCTACCTTCCTGCCTGAGGAGCGGCTTGTAATCGAGCCTAATTATCTGAATTATCGAGTTTTCATAAAAAAAAAATACTTTATTTGAAAATGCTTGGCCGAGAGATTTCAACTCACTGGCGAGAAAACCAAAAGTGCGCTAAGCAAAGAAAGTTTAATTTCTGGTTGTCGACTAGCTTCTCTCCTTAATTAACCTGACGTTTTCGCGGAGGTTCTGCGAATTTGAACTGTAAGAACTGGAAACTATCCAGAGGCCTGGCTGCTTAGGGACTTTGCACTGAAAAACGTGGTTATTGACATTGAACATTGGACAATTATCTTTCACTTTTCGAAGTGGAAGTGTAAATTTAAGGTTTAAAACCTAACGTGACCGCATCCTCGGCGACCACCGTGGCCAATGCCGTCTTCAAGCTCAAACGATAAGATAGCTGTTAGAGCTAGAGGACTTACTGTTCTCTCATGCTCTGCTAAATTTTCGGGTCGAATGCATCTAAACTTTGACGATACGAAACGTTTTGCGGTGAGTTGATTTAACGTACCTTTGGACTCTAAACCTCCTGAAGGATTCACCACCCACCTGCCTCCAATACGACAGACTTCACCACCTACAACAAAACAAAGAAAAACAACTACCGCAAATCCTCGAATTAGCGCCCGGGGCGCTTATTTCAAATTTAGGAGAAGAAGGGGGCGCTAATTTAATTTTTCCCAAATCGTGCTCTGACATGATCATTTTTTTAATACATCATCTGTGCGTAAACACCAACATAAACTGCTTATTGACACAAAAACCTGATCCTAAAGTTTAAATCGCGGCACCGTTAGTTCTTAACGTGTTCACTAAAGGTGTTCACAAACTGAAACAATGTACAGATCTAATACTACATGACGAAAACTATACATCCTTTGTTGTCTTATTACTCGTCCACAAAATGGGGGGAGGGGAGAGGGGCGCTTATTCAAGAGGAGGGGGGGCGCTAATTCGAGGATTTACAGTAAGCCCTTTTACATAAATTTATAAGCAGTCCTACTGACACTTAATCCGCCAACTAGCCAGAGGCCTAGGCAGAAGTGTAGCAGCTCTGGTAAGCTTGTAATTCTCTTCATTGTTAGCAGCTGTTATTGTTTTAGGGCTAGGGGCATTGTTTCTGTTGTTTGTTCTGTTGTCCTCTCAAAGGGTAGCAAGCAATTCATGTGAGACCTCGCGAGGCCTGGTACATCACCCATGCTAGGGTTTTGTAAGCTACAGTATTTCACTATCATAAGTTACATTACTAGTGAGTAATATTTGTATTGTAAGTACCGTGTTTCCACCCTGAAATATCGACACTAGTGATCATATCTTACCATTTGTGTTGGTGATCCACTCAGCCGAGTCAATTAACTCCCCACCCCTCCCCTGCGGACACAGTCCCATGGCTTCATACATGAATAACTGAAATGAATCAAAATGACTTTTTAACAATAACTGTCAAAATTCTCGAACGCTCATTGGCTAATCGTTATCGTCAATAAGAGTAAAGACACATAGATAACGCCATCACTAGCGGACCTCAGTTGGAAAAAAATTACCAGACTTTTTACGTGTTTGTAATGTTATCAGGTCCCGATAACAGCGACAAATTGAATCTACACGGGAGTTCTTTGAAAGGGAAGTAAATCCACATCGTTAAGATGATTTTAATTCAGAATACATTAAATGTAAGGTGAGAAACACGAATTAGTCACAATTTGACTCCTGGATCCACAGATTCTTTGACAACTAACACCCAGCAAGAGATTATCTCTTCCACCCAGTTTATAAACAATTATTGGATGAGGGTTTTGTGATATCCGGAATAATCACGGTCGAGGTAAGTGTTATCAGCCGAAGACTGAGGCTGATAACACTAACCGAGACCTTGATTATTTCGGATGTCACAAAAACCGAATCTAATAATTGTTTTATTATACATTGTTTAAAAAAAAAATATCGACACACGCATATCGCACCAAGAACAGTCAGTTTATTTTCGACAAGCCAATTGTTCTTACTTCGCTGTCCGTGAACTTGACATTGCTCTTGGAAATCATGCATTGCGCGCGTAACCTACAGATTATTCACTAATCTGCTGGCAGATTAGCGAATAATCTTTAGGTTGCGCTGTTTCCCAGAATTATCTGTAGGCTTTTAGCCAATCAGAAGACAGATGGTGACTACAATGTATAATAATCACCAATAAGAGGAGAGACGCATAAAACATTGGCGTCAATTTGTTAAATATGTGCGAACTAGACGTGTGCCCCCGCAGTGGGTCTTTTGAGGCTGAACACCCTAGAGGTTCCCAACACGCTTTTTTAACCCTAAAAGATTCGACGAGCACCCCCGTCCTTTTTATATGTAAGTTCCGAAACTTGATTTAAATGCTTCTGATCGGAAATCTACAAGCTAATACATTCAAATCTGAACCAAACCAAACAAAGTTCAAACTGACCTCATTGCAAGAGAAGCAGTCGTGGACTTCAAGAACGTTAACATCATAAGGAGTGAGCCCTGATGATCTGTAGCAGTCAGCGGCAGCTTTACGAGCCATCGCCACACCTGCCAGGTCCAGAAAACTGTGTTCAAACGAAGATGGGAGGTCTGTGACCATCTGCTGAGCAACGATCTCAACAGCTTTGTTCTGAAGACAAAGAAAGCTAAAGTTTAAGGTTCAAGGTCTGCATAGGAGGCTGGAGATACACATCAGTCTGGAGTTTATCCCGGTTGCTATAACATGAAGCGACTAGGAGTATTTCTACTCCCCCCTGGATGGGATGCTAGTCCATCACAGGGTTACCCCCAGCATTAAGTTCACTGGTATCCATTTATGAGGGTCGTACAGGGGGGTCTCTCGCACGGTTCACGAACGGAAAAAA